AAAAAAAAAAAAAAAAATCAGAAGACATTCACATGAGTTAGAGAAGGCCATTGTCAGGTGTTTCTTATACTAGTAGCTTTTTGCAGCCATCTTATCTAAAACAATAATTTTATCTTTTAAATTTGTACAGTAAACTTTTTTCTTTTTATAATAAAAGACAGCAACTCTGGCAAGTGGCTTCTAACTCGGCGCATTTTCTTAGTGGATGCAGTAAGTGGACGAGAAAATGACTTAGGAAGTCAGCCAAGAGTAATTCGAGTTGCTACCCAAGTATCACTGAGGTAAACAAATGTCTAATGATATTATTTATGGGAAAATATAATGGAAGTGTTTGCCAGTTATTAGTAGATGAAAACAATAAGGACAACTGAATTGGAACAGTTGGTCAGGTTATTTTAGGTATATGTGTAGATTGGCATAGACCAGTAAAAGTGAATAGCCAGGGGGGAAACTATAACAGAAGAGTGTGAGGAGTTAGGTCAAAATTCACATGCCAGGTCCCCCTCTAGACCTGCTGAATTAGAATGGGCTGTGAATAGCTAAGTAAATACCAGTGAGCTGAAATTGGTGTTTTAGAAAGAGCTTGCCAGATGGTTGATGATATTTAGGACTCCCCTATCCTCATTTCTTTCAGTGACTTTTGTTCTGGGTTTACCCAGATTAAATATCCTCTTCCTAGGATAACCTAACTGTGATCGTACCTTAGGTTAGTACTGCACCACTTAAATTTCTCTTTCTTTTCCAGTGTGAGATCTCTAAAATCTTAGTGACTTTCCCACTGTAATGTTTTATGATGTGTACCTTGAATACACTGATAAAAATCAACACCATCATCTCACAGTAGTTTGGTACTTTGAAGTACTTCAATATACTTTTTTTTTCAGTTGTTTCATTTTGATTCTCATAATCTTATGAGGTAAACAGTGCAGAAACTTTGTTATGTATCATGCTGAAATCCAAATGTACTGTGTTTTCAGCATTTCTTCAATCTGCTAATACGGTATTCTAGTAAAAATGAAAATGCACCTAGTCAGACTTGATGTGTTCTTGATGAAACCATGGTGGCCCCTAGTGATTAGCACTTTCCTTTTGAATTCACAAACTATACAGTACTAATGCATTGAATTTGGCAAAATGAACCTCACTTTGTGCCATAACCATATTACAGCTGACACTTTTTTTTTAATTAAAAAATTTATTTATTTGTTTATCTTGAGACAGGGTCTTGCTATGTTGTCCAGACCGGTCTTGAACTCCTGGGCTCAAGCAATCTTCCCACCTTGGCCTCCCAAAGTGCTGGGATTACAGGCATGAGCCACTGCACCTGGCTTGACATATATTATTTTGTTAAGAATTCATCTTTCTCTTTTGAAATCAAGATCTTATCTGCCTTTCTTTAGGCTTCATGTAGCACTGTACTTTTGATTATTCCTCAAAGATAGTTTATAGTTCTTCAGTGATTTCATCTGTAAACTTCATAGGACTTGGATTGAGCTTCTAATTTATCTCAGATGGTACATTTTTAGTTTGTTTTTTCTTTAATCTTACACCATCAGATGTTATATTTTAATGTTCAAGTCTTGATCACTGAAGATGGCTTATGTTGTCATCATTAGTTTATGTGTAACCTTCCTTAGTCCTTTTTAACTGATTGGTTCTGAGATCATCAGACAATTCATATTAAATTCAAAACAAATGGTAAATTAAATGTATGTTTAAGGGCCTAGATATACTGATTACTATAAATGTATTTTCTTTTAAATAGCGTCCACCTTGTACCCAACACAATAAATGGAAACATCTACCCTCCCTTAATCACCATTGCCTACAGTGACATTGATATCAAAGACGCCAATAGCCAGTCTGTGAAGGTGAGTTCCTGACTAATCAGTGCCCTTGTATGTATAAATAGAGTATAATACTGATTCAGTTTACATTTTGGTCAAAAGACAGTCTTTTTTTTTTTTAAGTTCTAAATAAACCTTTCCCTACATATAGTCAAGTCTTAATTATTTTTTGCTAATAATGGTGAGAGGTGAGTTCGTATGGATCCTGAGTATAAAAAAGTAAGAATGGATTATGTTTTTCAGTAGAAGTCTCACCAGCAGCCTAGTATCCTTGTTCGGGATACTGGGGTATGCTGAGATGTGCAATGTCTGCTCCTGTTCTTTTTGGCCACCTTGCTTTTGTTAAGATTTTGTGGGCCGGGTGCGGTGGCTCACGCCTATAATCCCAGTACTTTGGGAGGCCAAGGCAGGCGGATCACCTGAGGTCGGGAGTTTGAGACAGCCTGACCAACATGGTGAAACCCTGTCTCTACTGAAAATACAAAAATTAGCCGGGCGTGGTGGCACGCATCTGTAATCCCAGCTACTCTGGAGGCTGAGGCAGGAGAATCGCTTGAGCCCAGGAGGCGAAGTTGCAGTGAGCCGAGACCGAGATCACTTCACTGCACTCCAGCCTGGGCAAAAGAGTGAGACTCCATCTAAAAAAAAAAAAAAAAAAAATCTTATGTCTTTGCCCAATTAAGCCAGGAACTCAGACTTTACAGTGGGCATATGTGTGCTCACCAATCTGTGACCTACTTAATAGAGACATACTTCAACAGGCAGAAGGAGATGATAATTATCAGCGTTATAACTAGTACAGCTAACATGAACTAGAGGATGTAGTTTGGACCTGCAGCCAAGTAGGTTTCCCACTACTTCGTCAACTAAATTAAACTTAACTACAGGACAGAAGGCCTCTTCTGCCTGGGTGGGCCTGTGTATGGAAGCGAGACCTCTTAGGCTGCACTGCAGAGAATGAGCTTAGAGAAGGTTGAGCTACACATGCTCAGTTCCTCTTCTCAACTTCTCCAGTCAGATAAAGCATCTTGCTCTGAGGAGGGATAAATGAGAGAGGGATAGAGGTAAAAAAACAGAGGTAATTCTTCTATATTTTTCCTCCTAGAGATTAAGTGGCTATTCCCTTCTTTCTGTAAAAACATGAGAAGTGGAGCATAGCATTTCTTACCTCCAAACTCTGTAAGAGCTTTGAATTTCTACTATTTTACTTCTGTATTTTAATATTCTAGTTCCTTCAGCCGGTGCTTTTGGCCTCTCTGTTGTGCTTGTACTTGTACTTGACTGCTATTGGATTCAAACTTTAATTAAGTAAAAATACATATGTAGTATAACTTTTAAAGATTTTCCATCCTCATTTGTATTACCTAATCCAGTGCTAAAATTAGTTTCCATTGACCGAGCTTGCATACACTGTAATGAGAGGAGAAGAAAATCCAAAACATACTTGGTAACAACAAAAGACTGCCTGGTTTAAAACTTCCTGGAGTGGTGTTATGAGTAATCAAGAATATATTTATTTTCAGCTTGACCAACATAGTGAAACCCTGTCTCTACTAAAAATACAAAATTAGCCAGGCATGGTGGTGCATGCCTGTAATCCCAGCTGCTTGGGAGGCTGAGGCAGCAGAATCACTTGAACCCGGGAGGGGGAGGTTGCAGTGAGCCGAGAGCGTGCCATTGCATTCCAGCCTGGGCAACAAGAGCAAAACTCTGTCTCAAAAAAAATAAAATAAAATAATTGTGTATGTGTGTGTGTATGTGTATATATATATTTATTTTAATGTAAAACACTTCTGAGTCTTTTCTTTAAATATTATTCTTGTCCAAAATAATTCTAAACTAAGCCTTGATAAATTGAAAAATAACAAATAGAAAAAAGTTAAGTCCGCTGGTTGTGGTGGCTCATGCCTGTAGTCCCAACACTATGGGAGGCCGAGGTGGGCAGATCAGTTGAGGTCAGGAGTTAGAGACCAGCCTGGCCAACATGGTGAAACCCTGTTTCTGCTAAAAATATAACAAAAAAAAAATTATCTGGGCATGGTGGTGGTTACCTGTAATCCCAGCTACTTGGGAGACTGAGGCAGGAGAATTCTTGTTGCTTGAACCTGGCATGTAGAGATTGTAGTAAACCAAGATTGCACCACTGCACTCCAGAGTGAGACTATCTCAAAAAAGAAAAAAAAAAAAAGTTAAGTCATGAAACTACATTGATGAAGTCTACCTCAAATTATTCTAATTACAAAATATACAATTCTTTCATCATTTCTTAATTTCTCATGGCAGCTGTTGCAAAATTTTACATCAGTTGTAAACATCCAGCTATGTCTCTGCTCTTTATCTAGTCTTGAGCAGATCAGGACCATCTATCATGAATTCCTTAAGATTTCCTCTTTAATATTTCAGAATCTCTGTTTCATTGTCCTTCCCATTTCTTGTTCCTGTTTCCAAGAAAGAAGGTCCCCTCCTCTCTTCCTAAACTAATCTTCTATCTAAACTCATTTATAGTACATTTTCCAATATCCTGTTCCATCCCTAATGTCTTATTCAGACAGCCTCTCTGCGAGTCCCTTTCCTTTGTTTATAAAAACTCTCAGATTGCCTTATCTTAAAAACAAACTAAAACAACCAACCAACCAACCAAACATTTTACTCAGTTCTGCCAGCTGCCCAGCTTGCTAATGTATCTCTTCATTTTCCAACCATTTACTCTTTCATCATTTGCAGTCTGGCTCTTGCCATTTACTTCTTTGAAAACCTCTTTCATGAAAGTCAGCGATGGTTTCCACGTATAGTGGCTTTCTTTACCTTGACATTTATACAACATTTGAAACTGTACTCAATGTCCTCCTCCTTCTTGAAACTCCCTATTCTGTGACCATGGTAAGACTTAAGTATCTTCCTCTCCTACCCCTCACAGTCCTCTTCTCTGACCTTTTACTAGGTTCTTCTTTCTCTTGTCTCTTAACGTAGTGGTATCTTTAAGATTTTGTTCAGATCTTTGATTAATCTACGGTTTAGCAACTGGTGGTTTACCCAGTTGCTAAATTCCTAATGTACAAGTTTAGTCAAATTCCTCAGTTACAGAAGTCTATCAGAAAATGAAATATGATTAGTCTGTGCATGAATTTAACTTATCTCCTAACAAGCCCCGTTTTTAATGTGCGTGAAAGAGATATTTAAAGTAGCACAAATAATTCTCAAAAGCATATCTATTTACATGTAAGTAAAGGTCAACTCTAATAATATTGATAGTTAGAAACTATAGTGTTTATGGTAAAACCCAGCTACAAATGTGTTTTTATAAGAAAAGTAAGTTTGTATTACATAATTTCAGTATAGCTAATTTGTTTTGTTTTAAATACCAGGTTTCTTTCTCAGTCACATACGAAATGGATCATGGAGAAGCACATGTCCAGACAGATGTAAGTTTATTTTAACCTATTAAAATATATACAGTGTATTTTATAATTAAATAATTTCAGATGTGCAAGAAAGTTGCTAAAACAAATTTGCCAGATACTCTTTTCTCCAGCCTCCCCTAATGTTAGCGTGTATAGCCTTAGCGCAATGATCATAACCTGGAAATTAATATTGATGTAGTCCTATTAACTCATCTACATGCTATTTGAATTTCACTGTTGAATTTTTTTCTGTTTTAGGACCCAATCTAGCGTCACATATTGCTTTTAGCTGTCATAGCTCCTTAGTGTTTTAAAATGTGTGACAGATTCTTAGTCTTTCTTGACCGTAATACTTTTGAAGAGTACTGGTCCATTATTTTGGCCCTCAATTTGGGTTTGTCTGGTATTTTCCCATGATCAAATTGAGTTCATATAGTTTTGGCAAAGATGCCATCAAAGTGATGCTATAATAATAAATAAAAATAAGTATCTCATGGGGAAGATTCTTTGAAATTATGCAAACATCCTGCTTCTTATTCTTCTTATTCTCCCCCTCTCGTTTTTTGTTTTTTTGTGTTTTTTGGAGATGGAGTTTTGCTCTTGTTGCCCAGACTGGAGTGCAATGGCGTGATCTCAGTGATTCTCTTGTCTCAGCCTTCTGAGTATCTGGGATTACAGGCATGTGTCACCACGCCCAGCTAATTTTTGTATTTTTAGTAGAGATGGGGTTTCTCCATGTTGGTCATTCTGGTCTCAAATTCCCAACCTCAGGTGAGCCACCGCACCCAGCCAGCCCTCTTAATTTTATTTTATTTTATTTTAGATGGAGTCTCACTCTATTGCCCAGGCTGGAGTGCAGTGGTGTGATCTCGGCCCACTGCAACCTTCACCTTGTTGGTTTAAGCAATTCCTCTGCCTCAGCCTCCCTAGTAGCTGGGATTACAGGTGCATGCCACCACACCAGGCTAATTTTTTTGTATTTTTAGTAGTGACGGGGTTTCACCATGTTGGCCAGACTGGTCTTGAACTCCTGACCTTAGGCAATCCACCCGCCTCAGCCTCCCAAAATGCTGGGATTACAGGCGTGAGCCACCACGCCCGGCCCTCTAATTTTATTGAATAGCATCCATTGATGATTCTTACCTGCAGAAAGTTTCACTGTGATATTTGCCTGATGGTGATTTTCTGTTTCCCTAATTACTTTTTTATTTATTTGGAACTTTACTATAAGGAGAAACTCTCCCTTTGCTCACATTATTTATTCAATTATTTATTTTTAAATCAGTGTGAACTCGTATTTATTTTATTCTAGTAATTATAATATGTTATTATTTGTTTTCTTGTTCAAATTGTCCCACATTTGGCCATTACAAGTTCCTCCAACTTGACTCCTGTGTCCTTTCAACATGTCCCACCCCACCATTTTTTTGAGCACTTCCTTACTTTCTGTTCACAGTGTTTTTGAACACCAATGAGAGAAATTACATAAATTCTCAATTGTTCTTTTGTTTTTTAGATTGCTTTGGGTGTATTGGGTGGGCTAGCTGTTTTAGCATCTCTTTTGAAGACAGCAGGATGGAAGAGGCGCATTGGGAGTCCCATGATTGACTTACAGGTATAATCTCAGCGGTTTTTAAGTAATATTTTAATCTTTTGACTCTTCTGGATCCTTTTCATAAGACACAGCTAGAGGATAAGTAAAGAAGTTGCATTGAATTTTTCTGGGGTATGTAATTAGGATAAGTATTGCTGGGTCATATGGTATATGCGTACCTCATTTTCTTCCCACCATACTGTATGCCAGTCTATATTCCTACCAGCAATGCTCTTCTTATTTCTGCACAAACTTGGCAACACTTGATATTTTTCCAGCCTTTCCAATTTTTGTCAATCTCATGGCATATAGTAGTATGTCACTGTTGATTTCATTTTCATTTCTCTGTACTCTTCATATACATTTTAATCATTCAGGTTTTTCCTTCTGTTAACTGCCTGTTTATATCCCTTACGTACTTCTCTATTATGTTTCCAGTTTTTCTTGTTTATGTGAAGGATTTTTTTTATTTTCTAAATAGTAACCCCTTTTTGGTTTCTGATGTTGAAATATATGAACAAATAAATATGTGACCCATCTGTCATTTTTATCCATGTGGTCCTTTGTTTAACAGAAACTTTCAGGTTTGTTTTTGTTTTTGTTTTTGTTTGTTTTTTTGAGAGAGAGTCTCACTCTGTCACCCAGGCTGGAGTGCAGAGGCACGATCTTGGTTCACTGCAACCTCCACCTCCCGGGTTCAAGTGATTCTCCTGCCTCAGTCTGCTGAGTAGCTGGGATTACAGGCATGCACTATCTTGCCTGGCTAATTTTTGTATTTTTAATAGAGACGGGGTTTCACCATGGTGGTCAGACTGGTCTTGAACTCCTGGCCTCATAATCCACCCACCTCGGCCTCCCAAAGTGCTGGGATTACAGGCATGAGCCACCACGCCTGGCCAGAAACTTTTAGTTTTGATATCATCATATCTGAATATTTTTTCAATGCTTTTAGGATCTTGTTTAGGAAAACCTTCCCTATATTAAGATCAGAAAGATAGTCCACATTTTATTCTATTAACTTTATACTTTCACTTCATATTTAACCTTTTATTTTTATCAAACATTTAAAAAATATTTACCATGTACCAGGCACTTTTTAAAGCTTTATGTATGTAATTTTCTTAATCCTCACAGTAGCTCTTTGAAGTTAGGTTATTATTATTATTCGCATTTTACACATGATGAAATTGAGGCAAAGGTTAAATTTTCTACTCGCTTGATTTTTACAGCAACTCAGTAATAGATATTTCCATTTTGCCGATGAAGAACATGAGAAAGGTTACAGGGTAACTTTAACCAAAGTACCTTTCTGATTCCAAAGCCAGTGAGCTAAGGAATCAGCAGGGGGACTTGATTTACTACTTGGGATAGTCCAAAAAGGCTTCCCAGAGAAGTGAACTTTAAGTGGGATTATCTCTTCATTCTACAGTAGTCACTGAGGCTCTACTGTCTAAGTGTCTGGCACTCTGCCAGGAACTAGAGGATGTGATAGTGAGCAAAGACAGACATAGTCTGTGCTCTCAGAAATCATGAGAGCTTACCAGAGAGAGGAAGAGAAGAATATTTGGTAAAATAATGCCCATTTTATTCCACAAAGTATTCGAGATGAAAGTATGAAGTGGTTAGTCATTGACTAACTACATGACTAGAACTGGCAGATGAGGCTAAAAAGTTAATTTTGGCCCATATTGTGAAAGACCTTGTGGATCAGGAATTTATATTGCAGTGAGGAGTTGTTCATTTTTAACAAGGGAAGTGACACAATCCAATTCACATTTTAGAAAACTAACCCTGGTGTTAGTGTGGAGGAGAGATTAAAGGGGACTAAGAGAAAATTAGGAAGCAGTTCAATTTTCTTAGATAGTGAAAGATGAGAATAGTTGAAAAAAGAGGCTACCAGGAATGGCCAGAAAGGTAAGGAACTAAAAGGTAGCAAGGAAGAGGAAGCAGGTGGTCTTTATAGCCAGATCATATGTGGATATGTGAAACGAGGTTTCAGGCTTAAGAAACGTAGTGGATGATGTATAAAAGTGGTAATATTACTAAAAGTGGTTTATACATTGAGTCTTAAACAGCTGTTAATTCGTTTTTTTTAATTGCAGACAGTTATGAAATTCTTGGTGTACTATGCTGGTGATCTGGCCAATGTTTTCTTTATCATCACAGTGGGAACAGGTCTTTACTGGCTTATTTTCTTCAAAGTGAGTGAGTTTCTGAATTTACCCCAACTGCCAATATCGGAATAATTGAAAAATTTTCTTTATAAAGGAACTATTTTTGTTTGGGAGAATTTTTGATCAACAGTATTAAGAAAAGTGCCCAACTCTCCATTCCTTGAGTGTGCTGAGCTTATCGATCACATCGCTATCTTCCTCTTTTATGCTTTCTATGGTTTTTAAATTGTGCTTAAGAAAAACCTTGTTCAATTGGAAGACTTACGTGGGAGAATCCTGTGAGTCCAGAATCGAGTCCTGCCCGGGCAGCATACTGAGACCCTCCTTTCCCCAAAAAAAAAAAAACAACACTTTGTGTGATTATATTTAATCAAGTAATTTTTATTATAGGCACAGAAGTCTGTCTCTGTTTTGCTACCAATGCCAGTTCAGGAAGAACGTTTTGTCACTTATGTTGGATGTGCCTTTGCTCTGAAGGTAAGTTTTAAAGGACAGGTTACCAAATTTAAAAGGCCTGCTAATGAACTAATAAGTCTTTAAAATTAAAATGCTTTCAAAAACCTTTGGTGTGAAATTCACTTTGGTTTTGAAAGAAAGCATTAATTATTTTATGCAGTAAATTTACTTTTATTTGTAGTAGATGCTCAGTCTGAAAATCTGCCTTAAATATTTTTTTCAAAGAAGCCATAAATTTGTATGACTTATAAAATGATATTTCAGTATATAACTTTCCTTAAAGTCTGATGATACATTCACAATGGGACAAAATGTCTTCAGGCATGAATTTTGTCTCCATTAATCAAGGATAAAGTGTTGAGATCTTAAAGCTGTTTTGTCTGTCTCCAGATTCCTTTGCTCCTTTCTTCCTATGACCCCCATCCTCAACTCAGTGTTCTCTATCAATGTAGGTGAAGCTCTTTATATGCCTCTTGATAGTCCTTATCCCATTGTACTGTGAATATTAAGTATCTCCTTTTTCCACTGGCTGGGAGCTTCTCGAAGTGAAGTATCCCATACTTAGATTTTTATCCTTTATTTGATCAATAATGCAGCAACTAGAAAGAATGCCTCAGTTTAAACATATTGCTTCTATAAATGAGAAAGATGTGTTTCAACAACGCATTCTGTAAAAATCAGAAATCTTAATAGCAGAAATAGAAAAAACAGACGGAGCATTCAAAAACTTTAATTAGGAAAAACAAGCTATAGTTGAAAATATCTTTACTTATAAAGAAGTCAACTGATCTACAAAACGAGGTGTGCTTCTAGAATCTTTGGGAGTCAATTATATAAGTCCCTATGTGAGGAGGAAAAATGTCTCCTCTTTTCGTATTCCTATTTTAAAGAAATAAATAAAAAGGGAAGGTAAAGTAAAATGTATATGAAAATTCTGTGAATTTGGTGATTCCAGGTTATCTGATGAGCTTCTAATGATCCCCTAGTGGTATTATAACTTCATGTGAATTCACTTACAAACGTATATGTTCTTGTGATAACAGTATGTTTCTTAAAGAGTCAATATTGGTTTTATAAGCAGGCTTAATGCTGGTACTCTTTCAGGTGTTTTATTATATGTCATTCTCAGGCACTACAATTTTTGCATAAGCTCATATCGCAGATTACAATAGATGTATTCTTTATTGATTGGGAGCGACCTAAAGGAAAGGTTCTTAAAGCTGTTGAAGGTAAGTGAAATATACATTTGTACCAAAATTCTTTTGCTATCCTTGCAGAGCAGAGGAGGTAGAATTCTTTTACTCATTTTATTTTTCTGACCAGGTGAGGGTGGTGTACGAAGTGCCACTGTTCCTGTAAGCATATGGAGAACATATTTTGTAGCAAATGAATGGAATGAAATTCAGACTGTGAGAAAAATTAATTCACTATTTCAAGTACTTACTGTCCTCTTCTTTTTGGAGGTATAAACTGTTTTGATGTGATTATATGCAACTTACATGTACCTTATAAATATTAAACTAATATAATTCCAACTAAGTTTTCATGACAGTGGAAGATTTCTCTAAAGGTTGAAATATTGTTGTGAAGCCATTAAAAAGGAGTGACTTTATGTTATATACTTTACCACAATTTTTTTTTTTAAGTTTACCATCTTAAGCATTTTTGAGTGTAGAGTTTAATAGTGTTAAGTCAGCCAGGCGCAGTGGCTCACGCCTCACTTTGGGAGGCCAAGGCAGGCGGATCACCTGAGATCGGGAGTTTGAGACTACCCTGGCCAACATGGAGAAACCCTGTCTCTACCAAAAAATACAAAATTAGCTGGGCATGGTGGCACATGCCTATAATCCCAACTGCTTGGGAGGCTGAGGCAGGAGAAGCGCTTGAACCCAGGAGGCGGAGGTTGCAGTGAGCCAAGATCGCGCCATTGCATTCCAGCCTGGGCAAAAAGAGCGAAACTCCATCTCAAAAAAAAAAAAGATAGTGTTAAGTACATTCGCATTGTCATGCAAAATCATCACCACCATTCATCTCTAGAACTCTTCATCTTGCAAAACTGAAACTCCATACCCCTTAAACAACCCTGTACCCATTCCCTGCTACACCTAACCCCTGGCAACCACCATTCTATAATACTTCCTGTCTCTGTGTGTTTGACTGCTCTAGGTGTAAGGAGTGGCTTTAAAACCAATAGTTTGTATCAGAAGCCCTCGGGGATCTTTTGTAAAATACCTATGCTCGGGCTCACCCTTAGAGACTATGTTTGATTTAGTAGCTTTGAGGTAACCCCAGGTATCTATATTTTGAAAAAGCTCCCTACTCCCTGATCCGTATTCTCCCCTGCATTAGAATCACTATTATAAGTTTGATATTTTTCAACTAATTTTTATTGAAAACTTACTATAGACTATGTTCTGTGCTAAGAGCTGGGGCTAAAATGAACAAGATGCAACATATTTATTATACATTTGCAGTTATTTCATGGATTTAGTTGAAATTATTAAAGAAAGTATTCAGTACTAAGTATAAGACTGAACATGGAAACCGTTTATATGGGAATAGGTTTTCTAAGGAATTATCTGCTTAATTAAGATTGAATATAAATCATTAACTCTTAGGTCTGTCTGTCTTCTCTCTTTTTTCTTCTTTCTTTCCATTCTCTTTCCCCTTTCCCTTCCTTTATTTTTGTAAAACTGGTAGAAGACTGTTTGTATCCTTAGAGCTTTTAAATAATATGAGCAATACTTTCAAAATTCACTTGAAGTAGTATTTTGGTTTTTCTTAAATGAACAGATAAAATTTATATATGTTTATAGTTTACAATACAGTGTTTTGATATATGTATTCATTGTGGAATGGCTAAATCAAGCTAGTTTATCTGTTACCTCACATACTTCTTTTCTTTTTGAAGTTGTGTGTGTGTGTGTGTGTGTGTGTGTGTTTAGGAGTTTCCTCAGCTTTAAAAGATGTTACATGAAAAAGCTTTATAGTCAAGTAAGATTGGAAAATATTGGATTCAGTATAATCATGTAGTACCTTTTACTGTAAAACTTCTCAGAGCCTTTATTCTACAAGGGTGGGAAGCATGGAGGTGAGTGTAATGGATGGACCAAATGTATTTAAACATAGATTATTTTTTCAAAGAACTTATGCCCTTTAGAAGACATTTTGTAATATACTGTTTTAAAGTATAAAAATGTTTAGTACAGTGCCTGGCACATGTCAAATACTCATGAAATACTAGTTGTTGGTTTCACTCATTGGTAGTTTACTAATGAAAGTTTTATCCTTTGAATTAAATTTGTATTCCTGTCAGTGTGTATGACAATAAGGTTATATTTGACCCTTAGTCATATTGAGAAGAATGCCAAATGAACTAACTAAATATTGTGTAATAAATACTTTGTAGTTAAGATACTGGATAATAATTATTTTTATCTAGATTTTCTACTGTTTATACAAACTTGGATATTTTAGTTTTTCAAGGTGAGTAGGGAGAGGTTTTCTATTTTCAGTCTAGAGTAGTTTTCTTTATCCATGTCTGTTTAAATTATTACTTTTCCTTTTTACTCCAGGTTGTGGGATTCAAGAACTTGGCATTAATGGACTCATCTTCTAGTCTTTCTAGAAGTCCATCTAGCTATGTAGCTCCTTATAGCCGCATTTTGAGATATGCAGTGTCTGCTGCTCTTTGGCTAGCCATTGGAATTATACAGGTAAGGAATTATACAGGTAATATTACTTCTAAGTAACATTACTTATTTATAACTCTGCTTACTTACTGATTATTATCAAACATTGACCACATCCTTCTTTCTGTAGCAGAAAGAAGGTGACAAGAGCAATAAGCTAATAGTCAGTTCTTTTTTTTTTTTTTTTTTTGAAACAGTCTTCGCTCTGTCGCCCAGGCTGGAGTGCAGTGGCATGATCTTGGTTCACTGCAGCCCCTGCCTCCCAGGTTCAAGCAATTCTCCCACCGCAACCTCCTGAGTAGCTGGGACTGTAGGCGCCCACCACTGCATCCAGCTAATTTTTATGTATTTTTAGTAGAGATGGGGTTTCACCATGTTGGCCAGGCTGGTCTTGAACTCCTGACTTCAGGTGACCCTCCTCCCCTCCCAAAGTGCTGGGATTACAGGTGTGAGCCATCGCACCCAGCCAGTAGTCAATTCTTACATTGTGTTAGTCACTGTAATAATTAACTACTGTTGATCCATCACTTCGTGGCCTTTAGGCTAAGATCAAGTGTAATTACTGTTGATCCTTGAACAACATGGGGTTAAACTATTTGAACTCATTGAGAGTAGAAAATACAGTGTTCACAGAATGCAAATTCTGCATCTGTAGAGGGCCAACTTTCTGTATAGATGGGTTCCAGCAGGACTGAATGTGGGACTTGAATATGGGTGGATTGTGGTATACTTGGGGGTTCTGGACTCAATCCCAACATACTAAAGGACAATTGTAATTGCTTTATACCTAATAATGCCTCAATCTTTATAACAGCCCTCACAGATAAGCTCTGTTATTATCCTCATTTTATAGATGAGGAAACTGAGACACAGGAAGGCTAAAAAAATTTCCTGAAGTCATGTGACTAGTAACTGACAGAACTGGAATTTGAACTCAGACAGCCTGATTTCAGAGTTCACATTCTTGTCGATAGTGGGGCTCTGAAGGGCCTTTGAGAGTCTGCAGCTTTATAGTCATAGGACAGACTCCTTGTTTAGTTTATATGTAAATACAGGGACAGATAAGCTACCCTAAATATGTTGTTTTCTTTTGAAACATAACTTATTGTTTACATTTATTTATATATCATGAAACCTTACTCAAATTGCTCATACCCCTTGTGGAGTTTTTCTTGAAATATTTATTAAAATGACCAAAAGTAAAAATAAGTCTTTTTAGCCTCAGGTCCCATGGATCTAGTAGAGGCTATAAAGAAAAAAAAAAAAAAGGAAAGAAAAAAAGAAAAAGAAAGAAGCAGCAGCAAGCATCTAACTTTCAGGTACTCATAAACAGAAAGAGTCCTTCTGTTTAAAATTTCCTTAACTTTTATAATCAGCACATGAAGATAGGACCTCTAGAGAGACCAATTTTAACTTCCTATAGCTGGCTAATAGCTATCTACCTAGAACAGCCTACTTTTAAGGATCTTTTGAGATTTTTGTTTGTTTGGTTTTTGTTTTTAGAGACAGTCTTCCCCTGTCTCCCCGTCTGGAGAGCAATGATGTAATCATAGTTCACTGCAGCCTCAACCTCCCGGGCTCAAGCAATCCTCCTGCCTCAGTCTCCTGAGTAGCTGGGACTATAGGCACATGCCACCACACCCAGCGATTTTTTTTTTTTTTTTTTTTTGAGACAGAGTTTCACTCTTGTTGCCCAGGCTGGAGTGCAATGGCGTGATCTCGGCTCACTGTAACCTTTGCCTCCCAGGTTCAAGCGATTCTCCTGCCTCAGCCTCCCAAGAAGCTGGGATTACAGGGGCCTGCCACCATGCCCAGCTAATTTTTGTGTTTTTAGTAGAGACGGGGTTTCACCATGTTGGCCAGGCTGGTCATAAACTCCTGAGCTCAAGCTATCCTCCCGTCTTGGTCTCCCAAAGTGCCAGGATTACAGGTCTGAGCCAGATTGAAATATTTTTAAGAGAGCATATTCTTAGAGAATTAGGTCCAGGTGGTGGTATTCAGTAATCTGTGTATTAACTTTTTAAATATATATTTATTTTAAATTGATGAGACTTACTCAAACATGAAACTACAGGGATAGAGTTAGTAAAGGACAGCTGACAACCAGAAAAAGAAAACAAACATATTAGAATTGGAAACAAGATAGAATCAAAAGACTATGGGGTTTGATGTTTACCATCAATGTAATAGTAAGGAAATATTTTGTACAATATACCAATGTATTTTGTGAGTATATCAGATTCCTGTGGATGTAGATAGTCTAAAGCAGTATCATCTGAAACTTTTCATATTTGGTTGAATATAACACAGTCAAAAACAAAATAAGAGTGGCTGAAGTCAAAGAGAACCTTGTCTTTCCCGTGAAAAAGATGAGCAGAGGTCCAAAGTACAGGGCTGGAGTGGAATGGTGGCTTAGTGCTACTGTCAGGACCCAGAAGCCTGTCCTTCTGCCCAGCCACAAGGGACTTCCATCTCCACAGTCCCTTCATGGTCCATAATGGTCAATGAAGTTACAGGAGGGAATTGAAGTAGGTAAGGTCACCTTTTCTTTAACAGCCTTTTCAGAAGTGCCTTTCAACATCTTCTTGGCTAGAACTTAATAGCATGGCCACACCTAACTGCACTAGAACCTTTCAACTGAGCAGCAGTATATCCTGCTCAAGGAAGGGATCTGTTACTAAGGAGAAAGGGTTGTTGGGACAGCACCTAGCAATCTCAGACACCACCATCTAACTTCATTCTTTGCATCTCACTTTGCTGTCAGCTGGATAGTAAACCTTTTCTCTCCATGGTAATATTCTAAAATGATCAGTGTTTATATATTTGTCAAGAATCTTTGAGAGTTCCTTTAACAACCTGTTACAGTTTTGTAAATTTGTCTAAACTCTTCTTGATTCTAATGATGTCAGGCTTTATTGTTCACTCCTTCTATTTCCTTAAACCCAGCCTCTTCAGCTTTTAAGTGGTGTCTTTTGATTTTTAAACCTTGAATATTGCTGTTTCTGACATCCTTTAAAGAGGTTTAAAATATGTATATATATGCCGGGCGCGGTGGCTCAAGCCTGTAATCCCAGCACTTTGGAAGGCCGAGACGGGTGGATCACGAGGTCAGGAGATCGAGACCATCCTGGCTAACACGGTGAAACCCCGTCTCTACTAAAAAAAATACAAAAAACTAGCCGGGCGACGTGGCGGGCGCCTGTAGTCCTAGCTACTCGGGAGGCTGAGGCAGGAGAATGGCGTAAACCCGGGAGGCGGAGCTTGCAGTGAGCTGAGATCCGACCACTGCACTCCAGCCTGGGCAACAGAGCGAGACTCCATCTCAAAAAAAAAATAATAATAATAATAAAATAAAATAAAATATGTATATAGAGTATGTAGGAAAACATTTTCAGTAGTCAGCTACTGTAGATTCACTTACCTATTCATTCACGTATTTAAGTGCATTTTATGTACTGGATGCTGTGCTGAGCTTATGGATATGCTGTTACAGGAACAAATGACAGATCGTGCCAAGTGCTGTGACGAGATGCAGCAGGGACATGAGATAGAGAGTAAAAAGAAGGGAGGAGAGTGGAGGGTAGGAATGGGGGACAGTGGGGGCAGCTTTAAATAGGGGAGTTAGGAAATTTTACCTTTTTGTGAAACATGTCTAAAAAGATGTACCAGGTAAAATTTTTATTTATAAAATTTCTGTTTCTACTATTAAATCTAAGAAAACACTGGAAACCATTCCATATGAATTTTTAATACTTTATAGTCAGAATACTAGATATATGCTTTTTATGTGCTGTTCTGGCAGAGAAAATTAATTTGAAAAGTAGAGAATTTTCTCATGTCTTGGAATTTAGATGAGCAAGATGACAAAACCAAACATAAATCTGACCATCGATGCATTGATTTGTCCTACATTTTTAAAAGACTTTTTCTTTCTTCCCACGTGTTTGTCATAGCTTGTTTTAATGACATAGAAAGCTTGCAGAGCTCAAAATAGATTCCCTCAATGACTCAACACAATTTCAAAATCCTCCTCCCTTCGACAGAAGACTCAGAAATGATAAGTAGGACTTTATCACATAGGAACTGTTAAAGACCACTGTGCTTTTGGTTGGAACTTTTTTTTTCTAAAGATACTACACTGTGGCTGTAACAGAAAATTAAAATCCTAAAAGCTAATAAACATAAACTTGGCTTAATGTTTCAGATCGTGTTCTTTGCTGTCTTTTATGAGAGATTTATAGAAGATAAAATTCGACAGTTCGTTGATTTATGCTCTATGAGTAATGTAAGTACTTTCTGACTTCATCTTGCAACTGTTACTTTCCCTTTTTAAAGGTCATGAGTTTGTTAAGAGAGGCTTTAAAAGTCATTTGGTATGACTGAATTTTTGGTCCAATTTTCCACTGGTTGTTAATTCCAGAGATAATTATAATGAGCTACAAGTTAATATTTACTGCCTTAGTTTTTTCATCTTTTTTTGTGTGTTTTTTTTGTTTGTTTGTTTTTGGAAACGGTCTTGCTCTGTCACCCAGGCTGGAGTGCAGTGGCACCATCTTGGCTCACTGCAACCTCTAGCTCCCGGGTTCAAGCAATTCTCACACCTCAATCTCCTGAGTAGCTGGGATTACGGGTGTGCACCACTCTGCTGGACTAATTTTTTTTTTTTTTTTTTTGTATTTTTGGTACAGATGGGGTTTCACCATGTTGGCCAGGCTGGTCTTGAACTCCACCTGCCTCCAGCCTCCCCAAGTGCTGGGATTACAGGTGTGAGCCACTGTGCCCAGCCTGTTTTTTTCACCTTTATTTACAGTTTCTTAATTATGAATTTCTTATGCTTCCAAGTAGTTCATTAATTCCAGCACCCCTGAAAATTGTTTGTATATCAACGCTGTTTCTTCTTTTCCTTTCTTTTTTTTTTTTCTTTTTTTTTCGAGAAAAGGCTCACACTGTAACCCAGGCTGGAGTACAGTGGTGCAGTCGTAGCTCACTGCAACCTTGACCTCCTGAGTTCAAGCAATCCTCCCACCTCAGCTTCCCAAGTAGCTGGGACCACAGGTGTGCACCACCAACGACTCAACTTTTTTTTTTTTTTTTTGTAGAGAAAGAGTCTCCCTATGTTGCACAGACTTATTTCTCCCTTTCTTGGAAAATATCTTCAATCTCTTTTTCAAACACTTTAAAAAAAAACCTTATTATCCTTGATTACTGTATTATCCTCTTTATATATTTCCCAAAAATACAATCTTCATTATTTTGGGAAAAAGAAAGCAATTTTAAGGAAAACTTAATTTTTTGTTGTTTTGCATAAGAGTTGCTAATTGCTTCTTTTTATTCTCTTTTTATAGATATCAGTGTTTCTATTATCCCACAAATGTTTTGGATATTACATTCATGGTAGATCAGTACATGGGCATGCAGATACTAATATGGAAGAAATGAATATGAACCTTAAAAGAGAAGCGGTATGAAAATGTTTTACATCTTTTTGTTTTTAAGTTGAGAAATGGATTCTTATAAATCTTGGATTTGTTTTTTTTAAAAAAAGTCTTTATTGATAACTTTTTTTTTTTTTGAAATGGAGTCTTGCTCTGTCACCCAGGCTGGAGTGCAGTGGCCCAATCTTGGCTCACTGCAGCCTCTGCCTCCTGGATTCAAGTGATCCTCCCGTCTCAGCTTCCTGAGCAGCTGGGACTACAGGCATCTGCCACTACACCCGGCTAATTTTGTATTTTTAGTAGAGACGAGGTTTCACCATGTTGGCGAGGCTGGTCTTGAATCCTGACCTCAGGTGATCCACCCACCTTGGCCTCCTAAAGTGCTTGGATTACAGGCGTAAGTCACCGCACCTGGCCTATTGATCACTTTGAAAGTTGCTAGGGGCTGCCGGGCATGGTGGCTCACGCCTGTAATCCCGGCACTTTGGAGGCCAAGGCGAGTGGGTCATGAGGTCAGGAGATCGAGACCATCTTGGCTAACACAGTGAAACCTCGTCTCTACCAAAAATACAAAAAAAATTAGCTGGGCGTTGTGCCGGCGCCTGTAGTCCCAGCTACTCACGAGGCTGAGGCAGAATGGCCTGAACCCGGGAGGCGGAACTTGCAGTGAGCCGAGATCGCACCACCGCACTCCAGCTTGGGCGACAGAGCGAGACTCTGTCTCAAAAAAAAAAAAAATTGCTAGGGACCAGCTCACCCTGAACATCCACAAAGGCAAAGAATCTAATTTTATCTTGTAGTTCCTATATGAACTGTATTTCACAGTAACCAGATAATTCATGAGGGAAAGTTTCTCTTTATAGAAGAAAGTAGAAGGAATTCTAAGTTAGAAAAATTACCATTTTGCAGCGACTAATGGATTGATGAATGTAATCTGCCATCATCAGTGGATGCTAAACAATTAAGTGATTGTTGACAGGGAACTTTATAATGAGGGATCAGGTTGACGTAATTTAGACGCCCTGTAAATAAAAATAAGGATAACTGACATATACACTTCCTGCCATGATGCAGTAGGAAGTATATAACACCAATGAAGTATTTTTGCCTAAAAAACTGAACCTGAATATAATCAACCCTCTAGCCTAATCACCAGTTTACAGGAAATACAAGCGATAAAGGGACAAATTAAATAGCGCCATAGAAAGTAATTAGCCAGGTCTGGGTATAGGCTGCCTCACAGGATAAATTACTTAGTGTCTCCAGACAAATCAATGGCATGAAAAGAGAAGGAAGGATGATGGTGGCAGTGTACGAACTATTACATTATAAGAAAGATTTGAAAAACAAACCAATCTGATACAATATGTGGACTTTATTTGGATCCTGATTCAGACAAACCAACTATTTAAAAAATCTGGGAGATTTTTAGTGGACTAAATGTTAAGAAATAACTAATTTTGTTAGGTATGAAAATGGCATGGTAGTTATTTATTTTAAAGTTCTTATTAGAAATGCATACAAAGCATTTACAGATGAAATGACATGGTCTGGGTTTTACTTTAAAATACTCTAAGAAAAAAGAAAATTTGGGAGGATAGATGAAACAAAATTGATAAAATATTAGTAATTGCTGAAGCTAGGTAGTGAGTGGTTTACTGTTCTCTCTACTATGTACATTTGGAAAACTTCCATAATAAAATTTTTTAGAGAATAGGATGTGCTTAAGCAGAAAAACCAAGAGGATTTAGTGATTAAGGGCCATACCTGTGACTTGTAAGAATTTGATACGTGATAATGGCATTTCAGGGAAGAATTTATTTAATACATTGAACTGGATCACTTGATTAAACATTAGAAATTACCTTGTGATTAAAAAGTTAAATGTAAAACATGAAGCCATAAGAACCTAGAAAAGAATATTTCAGACTGGAGGATGATATTCTAAGGATAAAGAATAGAAAGCATCAAAAAAAATTAATTGATGTTACTTTATTAATATAGTACATTTACATATCAAGCAATCATAAATAAAAGGTAGTAAATTAGAGTAAAAATAATAAATATGACAAAGATATTGATAACAATATTGAAAGATATGCAAATCACTAAGAAAACACTAAATTAAAATCTCAATGGAAAAATGACCAATAGACACTAATAAACCTCTAAAAAGATTTTAACTCATAATCAAAGAGCTGAATATAAAAATAATGATTTTCCCCTCTTCAAATTAGCAAAATTTTTTTAGAAAAGCTAATACTTAATAGCATCAAGGACACAGTGAAATGGGCAACCACAAAGCTACTGGTGGCAGGTTGAATTTATGCAGACCTTCTTGAAAGTGTTTGGGCAACGTATATACCAAGAGCTTTTTAAGGTTCATGATCTTTAATTCACTGATTTTATGAATGTTAACTCAAGAAAAAATTAACAATATGAACAGCTACTTAAATTCAGGATCTTTATCACAGGAGTTATTTATAAGGGAAAAAGTATGTAAAAATTGGAGAATATTAAATAAATTGGCTTACCTTTATGGTGAAATCTTAAGTAGATGGTAAAATCATGTTTTATAGAATATTTAATGACATGAGGAATTGCTCAGGCTATAACATTAAGTGAAAAAGAAGTCATTGTGATCCCAATTTTATGCTATTTATATGTACATCCCTTAGACAAAAGACTGGAAATGAAATTCCTTAATATATCTATATTTCTGGGTGTTGAGACTAGGTAATTTTTTTTCTTTTCTTTTTTGTATTTCTCTTTATTTTGTAAATTTTCTGCAATGGCATGCATGTTTTTAATCAAGAAAAAAAATTTTCAATAAAGAAGTTCACTATATGTATTCTCCCTTTAACTGTATAGAAAGCCAAGTGCCATATTATGTTTTCAAGTTAGATTTAGACAAAGAAGGAAAATATTAACCTCTGGAGTAGGTAGACAGGCTTTATATAGGCCAGAGAACTTGAATCGAGCCTTGAAGCATCAATCAAATCAAAAATTTTTTACATATTTGTGGTTGTCAGGATCCAAGTTGTATCAGGGAAACCCAAAATGAATATGGATATCTGGTTCATAACATTAACTGTTTGGTCATGTATCACTATGTTTTATTGGAATTAATTAAGGAAGCATCTCAAAAATGTTTAGAAAACAAAAAAGATCATTTGCAATTATAAAACTAGTTAACTCCAAAGCAAGACCTTTCAGCATACATTAAAAGAGCAATAATCTTCATTATAAGGGAAGCTAAGAATATCAATATACAATAAACATATATATAAACATATATATAGTCTTTATATCATCTCCTTTGCTCTACTTAAATATATATACTCTACCTAAAAATATATATATGCTCTACTTAAATATATAAATGTATATGTGATAAATATATAAATAGATATATTTAGATATTATAGATAAATATACATGTATTTTTCTTTTTTTTTTAAGTAGAGCAAAGGAGATGATATAAAGACCTGTAAGGGAGTATGAATTAGAATAAAGTAGAAATTAGCAAAATCTGGGAACCTTGGATAATGGTAGAATCTGTTTCTCAAATACAGTTTCAGTGAATTTCACTTAGCACCTGAATCTTGTAATACGTGATAACAGCTAAAAAACAGTCTGTATTTTCTTTTTGAGGCAGGAAATTTTTTATAATTTTGATCTTAACTTAAATTCTTTTTAACTTTTCAGGAAAATTTGTGTAGCCA